AAGAATGGTGTAGGCTGAGATACCGGGTATCATTTTGTATGGGATCACGTGGATTTGGGATAATTTCAGAGTTTTTCTGGGCTACTGTTTCAGAGTGTGTGCATCAGTTTGCTGTGACTGGGAGGTAGGATACAGAATGCATCATGAACAAGACAAAGCATTCTGGTGCTGCTCTTTAAAAATCCTTTGGGTGCTCTTCGGTTAGGATCAAATAGATTCCTGAGTAAAAGTTGTTACAGTAAGGAAGCGGTGTGAGGTTTGGGACCATGGTGTGTTTATTCAAGTTCTTTTGAAGCACCTTCCTTCCAAACACCTAATGGATATTGTAAGAAACTATGAACTAAGGGTATTGTTTATTGAAATTTATGTTAAGCTCAATGTAAAGGTTAGGCGGCAAAAGACAGAAAAACTGCTTATGCAAACAGCTGCGAGACACCGCTTGTGTGAGACAAGATAACCTGTGAGACAAGATAACCGCAATTGCTTACACAAACCAGATACCGCTTGTGCAAGCAGAAGAGGTACTGCTCAAAGATAACCACGGATGTAAAAATGTATAAAAAGGAACTGTTTGAACTGATAAGTACGGCAGTTGGCGGAGCGCAGACTCCCCTGCCGTCCAGCGCTGTCTTTGCTCATATTCTACTTGCTATAATTAATAAAATTATAATTGGATTATGATCCATTGTGGTCTCAATTTATAACAATTTCTGGTGCCGTGACTCGGATAAGGAACGGTGGGCTTCTGTCCTCCGGGGAGGCGCCCCGCGGCAATCCGCGGCCCTGCGACTGATAGCCCACCCCATCCTTACCGACGAACCTAAATTCTAGAATAATGAGCAAAGGAGAAACCGGTAAAATCCCATAAAAATTCTGTGCACGGGAGTCCGGACGAAGACGCAGGACGCGTAAGTATATTGCGAATTTGTTCGCGGGTTTACCGTTCGGGCGGGATTGGGTTTCCTGGATTATAGCGAATGAGAGGTTCGATATACTGAACCAAGCGAGTGCGGACCCTTAAGTACTGCGTTTCCCATCTCCCGCGAGGGACTGGGCCAGGAACAAGGGGAGCGAGTGAGTGTGTGTTTGTGGATAATCCAGAAGATGGGGGCGAAGGGCAGCAAGCCTTCGACTCCCAGTGGGAAGGGTACCCACTGTACCTAAGAATACCCCTCTGGCATATATCTTAGACAATTGGAGATATTTCCCTGGAACACTAGGGAAAGATAAGCAGAAAATGATAGAATATTGTACTAAGATATGGGGAGGGAAGAAGATTTCTAAAAATGTCTTTTGGCCAGTCTATGGGTCAGAAGAAGATTGGATAAAGGCAACAATTAAATCTCTGGGTTAAAAACTGTGTTCCTGAGAGCACCTTGGCTGGATTTGCTTGAATTGCGTATTATGTCACTGCAGCCTTAAAACCAGGGTTAGCAAGGATGTCCCAATCCCCAGCCACAAGCTTTACAGAAATACTGATAACTGATAGACATGAACAACATCTGGGCAGCGAGTCACGTCTTTTAAATCCTCACTTTCTCTCTTTCTTTGTTGCTTTATTTTGTTTTTTTTTCTTTTAATCACTTTAAGACTTGAATTACAACCAAGCCAGTTTCTCATCTGCTGTGTCATTCTTGTGTTCTGCTATATAACAGAAGGGATAGGAAATGAATTAAAGATATTCTTAAAGACAAACTCAGGGAATTCAACTTGTTTAGCCTTGTCCTTTTTGCACAGCAGAACCAAGGCCTGCTTTGGAGCATCCACATGGACACCTGCGCCAGTGGAAGCCATGGGGGGCTGCTCCTCTTGAAGGAGGGGCAGGAGGACCCCTGGTAGCACCTGTCTGAGCTGTACAGCTGTTGAAGCAGGGACTCCTTTCTCCTCTGGAGTTTAGTGCAAAGGGGCTTGTGGGTGCAGCATGTGTATGATTTCCTCCAAGTTAGGTTTTATGTCAGCTTGGATAATAATCCATAAAGAAGTCAATTAAATGTTTTCTCCTGCCAGTGTCCACCAAGACTGCTAGAGAATCAAGAAGAAGCTCTTCCCTTCAATGCCCACCCACCACCCCACTCCTGAAAAAATACTCATTCACTGTTCACCCTTAATCCTTCCTTCTTCAAAGCTGTGTGGCAGCAATGTTATGATGAAGTCATAAAGAGCTTACTTTGGAGCTGAAGGAGGAAAAAAAATATAGAGTCCTTTCAAGCCTCATTTCAAAGACTGAGAAACCTTAAAACATGGAGAAGGATTATACTTGCTGCATCCTGAGTTTGTCAGCCACCTTCTGCTCTTTCTTCACCAAAGACGCCAATTTTCTTAGGTTTATGCCTTTCATAACTATCACCTCTTTTTATTTTTACCTTTCAAGCCTTTTTCCTTAATTTCTTGAGTTTTTTGATGCATCCAATACGAGAAAGAAAACAAACGTAAAAGGGAGCTGTCTACTGGACTGATCAATCAAGTTATTTTCCAGTGACCTATCATGGCTTGTAATATACAACACATCTAATTAAAGACATACTGAATCAGGTTTCTTTCTATCATATGATGTTTATTGTTTGAAGTCATGTCTTAATATTTGTATTAAACGTAACAACAAAAAACCCAAGACTTGTATTAGGAAGATTAAAGCCATTATAAACTCAAATCAAACTAGAACCAAAACAGCACTGACCAAGTACTATCTAATTAGAGCAGTTCCCCAAGTCAGAATTGACAAACATGTTGGACTACCCAACCCACTACATGAATACATAATCAGTGCTTAAGAATCACAAATAAGAAATCTAGAGAGCAAGCTGCCCATTTAATTATACGTTCCAATTAAGATTTTGGTCTGAGGGCAATAAGCTTATTTGAACATCTATTAGCCCAGTTGAGTTACTTGAAAGTCACATTTGCAGTCATTACCACTTCTTCTTAATGTGACTGTTACAGGGCAGATCTTTTCCTGCAATTTCTCTTGCTCTCCTCACAAAAAAAAAAAAAAAAAAAAAAAGTTTTAAGCATAACTCTCCTCTGGAAAGGTTGGCAGCTGTAGCTAAAGACCGAGAAAAGAGAAATGATGCTGTGTGCTTCTCTTCAAAATAAAGAGCATGCACAAGTTCAAAAATGCCTGACAAGAGATCATATGAAGATGAATTAAGAACATAAAGGAATTAAGGTTGTCTACTCCTCCACTTTTTTCACAGGAGGTTCCTTTCAAGGAGATTTTTCATGATCGGTGTCCACCTGCTCTTGGGAACTTGAGCTGGAGTTACTATATTGTCTTTCTTGGGAGGAACGGCCACTTCTACTTTCTCCTGTGTCGCTTCAATTTTTGGGTTTGGCTTATTTTTCTCTTTTGGCTTATTCTTCTCTTTTGTCTCCTTTTCAGAGGTTGGTCTGAAAGCAATAGCATCTGCTTCCATAACTTATCTCTCACAGGGGTGGCATCATCTCTGCTTGGGAACAGAGAGTTCGTTTTAACATCTGCTGCTGTAACTGGTTCCCTTGGTTTTCTCCCACCTCCCATACCACTCAGGACTGGGAAATCCTTAATTCTCCTCCCGTTGTCCTCTCTTCTGGTAATTTTTATGTCTCTTTGTCATCTTCCAGTGGCTTTTCCACCGCCTTCTCTTTGGATTTTGTAGGGTCTTTGACGCCATCGCTCTCTCTTCCAGAAGGTTTTTCAGCGTAATTTCCAGCTCTATTATGACTTTGGTAGCTCTGCCCACCAGAATAATTCTCCCTACATTCCTGAGTATTTGGTGAGTCCTCCCATCTCGTCCCAGGTGGACCAAACCCAGCTGGAGAAAAGCCCTCTCTGTTTACTGGAGGTCAAGGTTGAGCGTCAACAGCACAGCCCTTGTAAAATTTTTCCCTATAGTTCCTTTCCCATTCTCTGCGTCAGTCCTTTGTCAAATGGATCGCTAAAGCCAACAGATCTGCCATAAGAAGCTTTCATATCATATGGTGGAACTCTGTATATCTGTTAAAATGCTCCCTCTCTCCTTCTAAGTTTAGGGGGAGGCTGGCCTTTAAATACTGGAGACCTTGACCGTGAATGGGATCTTCTGGATGTGGGTGATCTTGACCTTGAACCTTGATCATAACCACGTGGCCTTGACCTAGAACGATGGTTGTGCCTCTTCCCTTTGCCTCTTCCTGGGTACAGTGGCGATCGCGAGTAGGAACGAGAACGGGAACGACGAAATGATCGAGAGTAGGAGCGAGTGCGGGAAGAACCGGATCTTGCCTCGGTGCCGGGGGCAGCCTGGTCTCTCCTTCTAGCAGCGAGATAGAGCTGATTAGGAAGGACGTGCTCAACTTGGCGTCTCGTAATTTGCATAATCTGTAAGCAAACTGTTACACCCCTGGGGCTAAGGACGATTTCTTCCTGGAGGGCTGGTTTCGTAACTAGAGATAAGCATGTGCTATAGAAACAGGAGTAGAAGTTGTTAAGGAGAAGAATGCTGTGAGCTAGCAGAAAATTAACTGCAGAAAAGGTCAAGCTGACCTTAGACGTTAGCCAATCATGAGCTCAGTTTTTGTAATATGTATTAGGTGATTAACCATTGTGCCAATCAGCTTAAAACACATGTATCTCTTTGTTTGGAATATAAAATCAGTTGTTGTGTTCAATAAAGTAGATCCTGACTTGCATCGAGCTGGGTCTCCGTCTCTCAATTGTGGCAAATTGGTGACCCCGACATGATTCGGGATTAAGAACCACCTATCTGCGTGGCATGCTGCGAGTCCCACAGAACTTTGAATGAGCTGCTGAAAGGAAGCAGGAGCCGGCATTAAGAATCCCTCCGGAGTTGTGAGGTGAGCTGTGGGAGACATGGGAAGTCAGGTGTCTTCCCCAGAGAGGGACGTGTACGAACTTATGAAAGCCCTTCTTAAAAAATATGAAAAGAATCTCTCTGGGCAAGATCTTAAGGTTATGCTCAAGTGGGTACAAGTGAAAATCCCCACTGTAACTGCTTCCAGTATATTAATGACTGAGCTTTGGGATGACGTGGGGATTAAGCTGTGGGACGCGGCTACAACAGGGAATGCTGAAGCACAGCGCATGCTCCCGTGGTGGAGGACTATCTTTGAAACTCTGAAGGCTCAGGAGACCGTTAAGAATAAAGACACTAAAGACAGGAAAGGTCTCCCGGTCGATAAGAAGACCTCGGAGCCTCTTGAGGTGGGCGCCGCCAAGTACCCCCCAGAGGATGATCCTTTTGATCCAGGACCAGTGGACCCAGAGGAGGAGCCAGATCTCTACCCTCCCGATCCCCAGGACGTATGGGCAAATATTAAACGACAAGCTCTGAAAGAGGGGGACTTGCAACTTGCGAAAAAAATAGTCGCTCCTGTTATCTATCAGGGGAGGGGGGCTCAATGGGAGGCATTATCCTTCCCTGTGGTGAAGGAGTTGCGCCGTACTGTTACCGAGCATGGCCTCTCTTCCCCATATTTCGCGAGTTTGTTATCTTCTGTCTTAGATACTTATGTCATGACTCCGCATGATCTCAAATCTCTCGCACAGTTGCTGTTAACCCCCACACAGTATTCGCTATGGGAGTCGCAATGGGGGAGGGGACTCCAAACGCTTTTACTAACCTATGTGGGCCATAATAATCCTGCTCTTGCTGCATTGACTATTGAGCATCTTACGGGTACTGGCCAGCACACGGACCCGGTGGCTCAGGCGAGGGATATTCCGCGGGAAGCGCTTGACGCCACGCGGAATGAAGCAAAGAAGGCTCTGCTTAAAATACCTGACTCTCAAAAGCCACAAAAGGCTTTTACTACCATTACTCAGGAACCTCGGGAGCCTTATATGCAATTTATTGACAGATTAAAGCAAGCCTTAGAGCGCCAGATAGATAATGTGGAAGCGCGGGGGTGGTGGCGGCAGCGAAATGGCGGCGGCGGCGGCGGTCGGGCGCGCAGTGCCGGCGTGGCGGCGGCGGCTGCTGTGCCTCTGTGTGTGCGCCGCGCTGCTGCTGCCGGCGGCGCGGGGCCTCACCGAGGGGCTGTACTGCGGCCGCCGGGTGTGCTACGAGGTGCTGGGCGTCAGCCGGCAGGCCAGCAAGGCAGAGATCGCCCGCGCCTACCGGCAGCTGGCCCGCAAGTACCACCCCGACCGCTACCGCGGGGAGCCGGCCGCGCTGGGCGGCGGCCCGCAGGCGGCACACGAGAAGTTCCTCCTCATCGCCACCGCCTACGAGACGCTCAAGGTGAGAGAGCGGGGACCGCCGCCGCGGCCGGAGCCGCTCCGGATGAAGAAATGCGCAAAGATTATGACTACATGTTGGATCATCCTGAAGAGTATTACAGGCATTATTATCACTACTACAGCAGGAGATTGGCACCGAAAGTGGATGTTAGAATAGTGATTCTGGTTACGGTGATCTCCCAGGCTAAATGGCCCCCACAATGGCCTCTGGCCAATGTTTCTCAGACCTTAGCAGGGATTGGAGGTGCTGGAAATAGTCACCAGAGCCTAGAGCTCATTCAGATACTGGGCCCGGAGGGGCATGTAGCCTCTGTTAAGCCCTTTGTGCTACCTGTGCCTATGATCTTATGGGGACGTGATGCACTGTCACAATGGGGAATGGCTATTCAAACGCATTTTTAGGAGGGGCCATTGAGGTGCGCGACACCCTGAAATTAACCTGGAAAACTAATACCCCTGTCTGGGTGGATCAATGGCCCCTGCCGATGGAAAAGCTTCGCGCCCTGGAAGAATTAGTTGATGAACAGTTATCCAAAAGACATGTTGTGCCCTCTGTAAGCCCCTGGAATTCACCTGTTTTTGTGATTAAAAAACAAACTGGCAAGTGGCGCCTGCTCCATGACCTCAGAAAAATTAATGACGCTATGGAAGACATGGGAGCCCTGCAACCAGGGCTCCCTTCTCCCACAATGATCCCCCGGGACTGGTCTCTGACAGTCATTGACCTCAAGGACTGCTTTTTTAATATCCCTTTGCATCCAGAAGATTCTCCTAAATTTGCTTTTTCAGTTCCAAGCGTCAACATGCAAGCTCCATTGCAGAGATATCAGTGGGTTGTGCTACCACAAGGAATGAAAAACAGTCCCACAATATGCCAATGGTATGTAGCCAAGGTCCTTAGCCCTGTTAGAACAAAGATGCCCTGCGTTTTATTGTACCATTATATGGATGATATTCTAGTGGCAGCACAACATCACGAAGTCATGGAGGAAGCTGTAGCCCTTGTCATAACTGCTGTTAATTCAGCAGGTCTTTGTGTTGCGCCAGAAAAGGTTCAGAAAATACCACCATGGAAATATCTAGGCTGGCGCATACGGGCTCAAACTATAGTCCCACAGCCTTTACTAATTCAAGCAGATGTGAGGACTTTGCATGATGTGCAGAAGTTGTTGGGAACAATTAATTGGGTTCGACCTTTGCTAGGAATTTCCAATGCAGATTTAAGTCCTTTATTCGACCTGCTTAAGGGGAGCACAGACTTATGTTCCCCTCGCGCTCTCAACCCTGCAGCTGTTGATTCCTTACAAAAAGTTGCTACAGCTATTACCTTAAGACAGGCACATCGATATGCCCCTGAGTTACCTTTCCTTTTAATCATTTTGAATCCTGCTCGACAGCCTCATGCCTTGATATTTCAATGGGACTTGCAGGAGTCTGACCCGTTGCTTATCATTGAATGGGTATTTTTACCGAATCAACCCACGAAAACCATCTCAACACAGCATTAAATGTTTGCATCCTTGATTGTCCGTGCCAGGCGGCGCTTGTTAATGTTGTCTGGAATGGACTTCACCTGTATTTATTTGCCTATGGTCAGCGATTATTTGCAGTGGCTTCACCAACAATCGGAAGACTTCAGTATAGCGATAGCTGGTTATACAGGCCAACTCACTTCTCACCCACCTTCTCATAAATTGTTTAATGCTAATTTCCAGCTTGTACCTAGACCAAAGAGGAGTGACCAGCCTTTGCAAGCTCTTACTGTTTTTACAGATGGATCTGGGAAGTCCCACAAATCTGTTATCCTCTGGTGGGACGACCAGCGCAAACAATGGGAATCGGATATAAAGACAGTGCCGGGTTCCCCCCAAATCGTGGAACTGACTGCCGTCGTCCGAGCTTTTAGAAAATGGTCTACACCGCTTAATATCATCACTGATTCAGCTTATGTTGCAGGGATTGTTGAACGAGCTGAGGCGTCTGTGTTACGAAATGTCTCACATTTTGCATTATTTGCTTTGTTACAGGAGCTTATTTTTCTTTTAGATTCTCGCATTCATTCCTATTTCATTATGCATGTCAGATCTCACACTTCCTTACCTGGCTTTATAGCGGAAGGGAACCGGCAAGCTGACCTGCTTACATTACCGGTACAGGTACTGCCAGACCGCATAGCACAAGCAAAACTTAGCCACGCTTTCTTTCACCAAAATGCTGGTGGGCTTAAGCGACAATTTGGCCTTACTACTCAGCAGGCAACCAGTATAGTTGCTGTGTGTCCCGATTGTCAAAGGCACTCATTTCCTACAATAGCAGGAGGAGTTAATCCTAGAGGATTGCAAAGTTTGCAACTTTGGCAAACCGACGTCACTCATTTTTCGGAGTTTGGTCACTTAAAATATATTCACTCCTCTATTGATACCTTTTCTGGGGCATTATTTGCCTCTTGTCATACTGGCGAAAAGGCACGCGATGTTCAACGACATCTGCTGCGTGCTTTTGCCACTTTAGGCATACCTTCTCAAATTAAAACTGACAATGGCCCTGCATATATTTCAACTGCAATTAAAAAGTTTTTGAGTTCTTGGGGGATCAACCACATTACGGGTATCCCTCATTCCCCCACGGGCCAATCCTTAATTGAACGCTCTCATCAGTCTCTGAAACGCTTATTGCAACAACAAAAAGGGGGAATAGGGACCGTTACCCCCGAGGAACGTCTTCAGAAAGCTTTATATGTTTTTAATTTTCTGAATTGTTCTTTGATAGACAGTAAGCCTATCAGGATGGTTGAGAAGCCTTGTAAAAATGATTGTGTATGCTTTAGTCGTTTTTATTCTTTTGTTACTTTGTTTACCCTGTTTTTTGCAGTGTGTGCAGAACCTGATAGCCAGTTCAGTGAAAAGGGTCCTTATTGTGCAACAAGAAGGGGGAGATGCCGGGGGCAGCCTGGTCTCTCCTTCTAGCAGCGAGATAGAGCTGATTAGGAGGGACGTGCTCAACTTGGCGCCTCGTAATTTGCATAATCTGTAAGCAAACTGTTACACCCCTGGGGCTAAGGACGATTTCTTCCAGGAGGGCTGGTTTCTTAACTAGAGATAAGCATGTGCTATAGAAACAGGAGTAGAAGTTGTTAAGAAGAAGAATGCTGTGAGCTAGCAGAAAATTAACTGCAGAAAATGTCAAGCTGACCTTAGACGTTAGCCAATCATGAGCTCAATTTTTGTAATATGTATTAGGTGATTAACCATTGTGCCAATCAGCTTAAAACACATGTCTCTCTTTGTCTGTTTGGAATATAAAATCGGTTGTTGTGTTCAATAAAGTAGATCCTGACTTGCATTGAGCTGGGTCTCCGTCTCTCAATCGCGGCAGGCAGCCCCTGGCACTCACCCTCTTTTCAAAACCCCCTTGCAGTACCACGCCAGCGGGCTGATGCAGAGAGGGGCCAACGAAGAGGGTTTCTACGGCTTCCTCTTCCCTGATATCCGCCAGGAGCTGAAGCGGGTGGCACAGAAAGTGAGGCCTTGTCCCCATGTGTCCCCACCGTGTCCCCACGCCCCGTGCCTGGCACTGCACACGCCAGCAGCCACCCACCCAGCCCCCAGCGCTGCTCTGGCAGCCGGCTGCAAGCAACCCCCAAGTCAGATACCCCATGACGCAAAAAGGCCCGTTCCTGCGGCAGGGGGGGGATCTGGAGGGTACGGGGGGCATCCTTATCTATCAGGGGCCCGGTGTCACCAGCCGGGCGGCCCCACAGAACGCGGCGGGGCTCCCTGGGGCCTGTGGCGCTGACACCGTTGTCCTTCCTGCCGTCCCCAGACGTGCCACATCTGCCAGCTGCCGGGCGCCTCGGTCACCTGCTGGGCCCGGCGCTGCCGGCCCCGGCGCTGCCGCCGCATCTTCCACTTCCCCTGCGGCAGCAAGCGGGGCTGCGTCTCCCAGTTGTTCGGGGAGTTCAAGTGAGTATGGCTGCCACGCGGGGTCGGGGCCGGGGCTGGTGCCGGGGTCCGGGCCCGGAGCCAAGCTGTCCCCTCCATCCTCCAGGTCTTTTTGCTGGAAGCACCGGCCGGTGCAGCGGGTGCGGGCGGTGCAGCAGGACCAGACCCTCTGCCTCATCTGCCAGGAGGGGGTGGCGGAGCGGCCCTGCTACGACACCCTGGTGTGTCCCGCCTGCGCCAGCGCCTGGTTCCACCGCGGCTGCATCCAGGTAGGTGGCATCGCCCCCGGCCCCTGGAGCGATCCCCCCTGCTGTCACCCTGTTGTCGCGTCGCCCAGCTCCAGGGCGGTGAACCGGACCCCCGGCGCTGATGCTGATGCCACCTCTGCCCCAGGGACAGGCGCTGCGCTCTGGCTTTCACTACTTTTGCTGCCCGCTGTGCCGCAACAGGGAGCAATTCCTGGCAGAGATGTTTCACCTGGGCATCCGGATCCCTGACAGGTCAGTGCCCTCCCTCCCGCTGCCGCCTCCCCCTCCGCGATGCTCCAGCTGAGCCCTCCTGCCTGCGCGGGTGCCGCCGGGGTGTCCCCCACGGCCCCAGGGTGAGCGCTCCCCCGCTCCCGCAGGGATGCTGCCTGGGAGGAGGAGGATGGGGCCTTTGCAGGCCATTACTTGCGGCACAGCTCCTGTGATGCCAACCAGTGCCTGTGCCCAGAGGGACGCGAGCATGTGGAGGTGAATGGGTGAGTGCCGGTGGCTGCGGTCCCCGCAGCCCCAGCGAGGAGATGGCGATGCCTTCGTCTCCTCCTCTGGGCAGGGATGGAGCTTCCCTGGGATATGGGCACGGCACGGCAGGGTGAGTGCCAGCAGCTCAGCCCCAGCTGCCGGCGGGAGCGGGGTGGACGTGGGCTCAGCACAGCGCCGGGGCTGGCACCCCACACACAGCTCGGGGGCCTTTGGTGACAGTGGGTCCTGTTGCTCCCCCAGGCCCTGGAGACTTCTACTCTGCACATCCTGTGCCTCACAAGGGACCCACCAGCTCTGCTCTGCCCTGGGGGAAGATGATGCCGTCTCCTGGGACTGCAGCGACTGCAGAGGCATGGACACTGGAGAGGGGTGCAGCGGGGCGACAGAGTCCCCAGTGTCACCTGCCACCACAGCCACGCAGGACGTGGGGACATGGACAGGGCTGTGATCCGGGGAGAGAGGGAGGGAGGAAGAGTGAGGTGGGCTTGCACAAGGTGCTCATCATCTCCCTCCCTTGACACCGGACCAGACTCCAGCCCCTCCAGTGCAGGGAACCTTGCGCAGCGCCCTGCATCCCGACACTTCACCTGAGGTTGACTAGTCCAGGGCCCTCAAAAAAGACTTCCCAACTACTCAACAGATGCCATCGGTGCATACGTACAGTCAGTCAGCCCTGCCCACAGCCACCAGGGTCCCCGCTGACAGGGATGGGTCACCCCGCCTGCCCTGGCAGCTCCCGTGGAGCGATGGCACCCCCAGCCCCACCTACACCTCCAGCAGCAGCTGCACCCAGCCAGGGGTGATGTGAGCACCCACCGCTGCTGGGGGCTCGGGCTGCGGTGGCTGGGGCTGTGCCCTGAGGGTGGCCGGGAGGGGGTCGGGGACACAGGCTCCCAGCAGCCTGGTCACCAAGAAGAAGAAGGAGCTGTGCGCGGATACCCGGGAGCCCTGCGTGGAGGCACATGCGAAGCACTTCCAGCCCCAGAAGAAGTGACCCTTCCCCGCTGCCAACCGCGATGGCCCCGCTGCTTCCCCCGGCGCGCTTGGCTCCCGGCCCCGGGCATGCAAGACAGGACTTCAGCTGCAGCCTTCTCCAGCAGGAAAATCTGTTAAGTTAAACTGTATCTGTCTTACTAGGTAAAGTGATTAAAAAATACTTTCAATTCTATCAAAATCCTGATTTAAACCACATCAGTGTGCCTGCCTGCTAAGGAAGTTTCAAGAGTCTGGATGCCTCAACTGTTTGTGCTATCAACTCCTTTGGGTGTCTCTGCAGTCCCGGCTGGAGCCCTGACGCAGGAGAAGGGTCCCCCGGGGACCCAGTTGCCCTCCCCATGCCCTGGGTTCCCCGCTCCTCCCCTCCCTGGCCAGGGCGGCCTGGGCCCCACAGCAGCTCCCACGGTGCTTCCCCCTCCCCAGCCCGTGTTAACCTCCACTGCCGCCCAGCACGGCCCCACGCTGTCGGGGGACACAAAATGGAAGTGCGTGCTAGGCCTTGGAGCAGGCCTCAGCCTGAACACAAGTACTCGGAGGCCTCGGCCAAGTCGACCCTGCGAAAGTAGAGTCAATGTTTCTTCCTGGTAGTTAGAAGAGTGCTGTGCCTTGGTTTTAACATGGGCTTCGTTACGAGAAAAATGCTCACAAGCTTCGGCTGCTGCTGGGAAAGAAGGAAGCAAGAAGACTGCCAGTAGTACTGCGAGATTAGCGCGGAACACCTGCTGGTGTTCAGCTGGTAGGAGAGTGCTGTAACTTGATGGGAAAGTACCGTAACGCACGAAAGGTATACAAGCAGCCAGCGTGCTGAAGTCGAGCGTCTCAGCATCACCCGTGATTTGAGTCCGTGCCTCAGTACGCCACAGCACGCCGTGACACCAGCGTCTCCCCTGGGGCTGCCAGAGCCGGCTCCTCTTGGGGTAACGGGCCGGCGGCACCCGCAGTGCCAACACGAGGGTCGGGGCCACCGCGGAGGCTCAGCCCTGCGGTGCTCAGGCACATCAGCAAAGCCACACGCCCAGTTCCAACTTTTCTTAGTGAGGAGATGCAGGTTTGTGGGACAGGGGCTGGGGCGGCAGGTGGGTGTCGGGGTGTTCTTTGAGGATGCTGGCCTCTTCAGCCTCAGCTGATGGGCCAGGAGACGGGGTGTTGTGCCAGGGTCCCTGTGCTTCCTTTTGAGCAAGGGAGGCTGTCCTTTTTTCAGCTGGGCTAGAGTTAATTTTCACAAGGAACGCTGAAGTGGCCCAGCCAGGACAGCTAACCCAAACTAGCCAAGGGGTTATTTGGTCCCATAGGACATCACGCTCAGCAGAGCCCCAGGGGACCAGCAGTGTTGTCAAAGGACAAAACTGATACAGAAGTCCAGGGACAGAATTTTTTGTACCCAAATGGAAGCTGCATCTTCTTAGTGCGATCTCTCAGCCACGGCATCAGTTGAGGCAGGTACCAAGAGGTACCCCTCATTTCAGACCGCAGGGTTGAAACTGGGAAGACCAGTCGAGAGAACGAGAACTAGACCCTGATGGAAGCGGGAGAAAACCCGCCTTCGGGCGACCGTTACCGCCGCGACGCGGCCCGCGGGCGCCATCTTGTGGGCAGGCGGCCATTAGCCGCGGGCGCGCCGGTCACGTCCCCCTTCTCCTGAGGGGGCTCCCGGGCGGCCGGGCCAATCAGTACGGCCGGCGCTGCGGAGCGCGCGGGCCCCGCCGGTCGGAGCGGCGGCGGCTGCCGGCCCCAGGGTGTCAGAGTGCCCAAGAGAGCAGTGTCCCCCAGCGCTGCCGGAGGAGCAGGCAAGACCCTCCTGCGCTCCTCCCAAGCGCAAAAGGAGATGTCCCGTCTCCAAGGAGAGAGGTGAGTGCAGAGCTTCCCCCCGGGCACCGGCCAGAGGGGATTTTGGCCGGTGCCCGGCTGTGCTGCCACAGGCCCCCGCAGCGTCCCAGGGTGCTCCGGCCTCTCCCCCATCCCCGCTCCCAGCATTACCCCCACCGGCTCCGCGGCGTGCTGCTGGGGGTGACGGTGCCTCTGTCCCCCGGCAGTGTGCGGGCTGTGCCGGCAGGACAACTGTGACGCCGACGCGGTTGGCCAGCCGGGCGGCCCCACAGAACGCGGCGGGGCTCCCTGGGGACTGTGGCTCTGACACCGTTGTCCTTCCTGCCGTCCCCAGAGGTGCCACATCTGCCAGCTGCCGGGCGCCTCGGTCACCTGCCGGGGCCGGCAGCGCCCTGCCGGGTCCTGCCCCGGCGCTGCCGGCCCTGGCGCTGCCGGCCCTGGCGCTGCCGGCCCTGGCGCTGCCGGCCCTGGCGCTGCCGGCCCTGGCGCTGCCGGCCCTGGCGCTGCCGGCCCTGGCGCTGCCGGCCCTGGCGCTGCCGGCCCTGGCGCTGCCGGCCCTGGCGCTGCCGGCCCTGGCGCTGCCGGCCCTGGCGCTGCCGGCCCTGGCGCTGCCGGCCGGGGCATCTTCCACTTCCCCTGCGGCAGCAAGCGGGGCTGCGTCTCCCAGTTCTTCGGGGAGTTCAAGTGAGTATGGCTGCCACGCGGGGTCGGGGCCGGGGCTGGTGCCGGGGCCGGGGCCGGGGTTGGGGCCGGGGTCGGGGCCGGGGCCAAGCTGTCCCCTCCATCCTCCAGGTCTTTTTGCTGGAAGCACCGGCCGGTGCAGCGGGTGCGGGCGGTGCAGCAGGACCAGACCCTCTGCCTCATCTGCCAGGAGGGGGTGGCGGAGCGGCCCTGCTACGACACCCTGGTGTGTCCCGCCTGCACCAGCGCCTGGTTCCACCGTAGCTGCATCCAGGTAGGTGGCATCGCCCCCGGCCCCTGGAGCGATCCCCCCTGCTGTCACCCTGTTGTCGCGTCGCCCAGCTCCAGGGCGGTGAACCGGACCCCCGGCGCTGATGCTGATGCCACCTCTGCCCCAGGGACAGGCGCTGCGCTCCGGCCTTCACCACTTTTGCTGCCCACTTTGCAGCAGCAGGGAGCAATTCCTGGCAGAGATGTTTCACCTGGGCATCCGGATCCCTGACAGGTCAGTGCCCTCCCTCCCGCTGCCGCCTCCCCCTCCTGCGATGCTCCAGCTGAGCCCTCCTGCCTGCGCGGGTGCCGCCGGGGTGTCCCCCACGGCCCCAGGGTGAGCGCTCCCCCGCTCCCGCCGGGATGCTGCCTGGGAGGAGGAGGATGGGGCCTTTGCAGGCCATTACTTGCGGCACAGCTCCTGTGATGCCAACCAGTGCCTGTGCCCAGAGGGACGCGAGCATGTGGAGGTGAATGGGTGAGTGCCGGTGGCTGCGGTCCCCGCAGCCCCAGCGAGGAGATGGCGATGCCTTCGTCTCCTCCTCTGGGCAGGGATGGAGCCTCCCTGGGATATGGGCACGGCACGGCAGGGTGAGTGCCAGCATTTTAAGGGGAGATTTGACAATGCTGATGCACTACTGGCTGATGCAATGATCTCCGTTTCTAATATGTGCGGGGTGTGGGATATTCCTTACCACCATCCTGGCATTTCCTGTTTCCCTTTGCTACACTCTTACCTATCCCACTCCTTTTCTCTCTGCTTGGACAGGCAAAGGGGATCCCACCAGGTCAGCACTGCGCACTGCCATTGCCCATCCTTGGCTGTGAGCCCCGTGACTCTGTTCTCACGACGTAGTCGGCGTTTCCAGGAGGAAGCAGTGTCTCACTGCCCGCCTCTGCCTCAGCAAGAGAGGCGATGCAAGCCCCCGGCATGCCAGGTAATTGCTGTGCCGTGGTCAGCCGCTGGCACCCATCGGGATCGCTGTGCGTCAGCAGGCTCTTCCCCCAGTCCCGCTCTTGCACGTCACGTCAGCATCCAAAGGGGAAAGTGCTGTGGGCTCGCGGCACCTGGGCCACGTTCCGCAGATGATGGGGAATGTAACTCTTAATCCAACGCACCTCCCGCTGTAGCTGCATCCCAGAGCTTGCCATGAGTCCCTTGAGGCCCAAGAGCAGCACAGAGTGGGATCCCTCCCGTGAGCCGAGGTCCAGAGAGATGCCCTGACTCCCCAGCTGGGCAGGGGCCTTGGAGGGAACCTCCCCGTCCTCCTGCATCCTCTGTGCCTGAGCCATGCGGAGGCTTTACCTCTCCTCTCTGCTTTTTGGCAGTGCTGTCAAGGCTTGGGGAATATCAACGTGGCAAAGTGCATGAATTTCCTCCAACAAACTCAGGTACTGAGCCTGGGGTCCTTCAGTGGGAGATAAGTCCAGAACTCTGGGAGCAGCTGCAGGCGGTGCCCATGCTGGGGAAAAGGCAGAAGTGGGGAGGGAGGCTCAGGTGTCTCTTGAGAAGTCCTGACTCCATCCCCTGGTGATGTGGGAGCTGCCCGTGGGCAGGGAGAGTTGGGGGTGGCACTGCCTGCTGCAGGGACGGTTTCTTCTGTCTGTGTCCCTCGAAGCAGCGACTGCTCGAGCAGATGCGCTCCCCACCACGTGCTCCTTCTGAATGCCTCAGTTTTGTTTGGGGGGACAACCTGTCCCAAAGGGTGGGAGGGTGCCTCCGGGCACCAGCACTGGTGGGAAACAGAGACTTTCCTGGACATATGAGACGTGCTGCAAGCTTACAGTGGTGCATTGGACAGACTAACATCCCCAATTGCATCTCCAGGTGCGGTCGGCGAGACAAGCCCCACTGTGTCCCGTCCCCAGAACATCGCAAGTGTTCTCTGTCCCCAAGATGTGCGGAAGGGCTGCATGATTGGCACAGTGGTAATCGTGATTTTCCTACCACTTGCACTGCTGCTGTGCTACGTCTTCGTCCGGCAGCGGAGGAAGAGCAAGAGTAAGTCGATGATTTTGCCCCCCACTGCTCCCTTGCATGGCTGCTCGTGGGCCTTGCTCTGGAAAGGAGTCCCTGTGTCCCTCCTGCAGCCGAGTGCCTCAGCGGCTTCCTCTCTCCACAGACATGCCCCTGCACCTTGGGGACACCTGCTGGAAACCGGCGGGTACCCCTTGCGCCCGGTCAGCCCCACCAGCCACCCCGGCATCCCTGACAGCTGGGACCAACAACAGCAGCAGCAGCCCCCACCTGAAACACCGGCACGTCCACCCTCCAGACGGGATACACTGCCACCACCGCCACCGCCGCCAACCCCTCCTGCCCCCAGCCCAACACTGGCCGCCTCAGTGCCTCAAAATGGGCCCAGCTCCACCAAACTCCAACCCAAACGTCCTCCCCGTCCCCCGAGGCCATGGGTCCAGCCCTCTGACAAGGGCTGAACGCGGCCCTGCCAGGGTAGGGGTTGAGGATGGGAAGACAGAGTCCCCCACCCACAGCTTCGGGGGGCAGCCCTTTCACCCCCCCATGAAGAGGGTCAGAGTCGGCGCACAAGCGTCCATGTGGCCCTAATAGCCAAATCCCACGAGGCACCGAGCACTGGCTCATCTCCATGCCCAGCCGCGGCTGTGGATATGCCCACTGTGTCCACTTGCGGTGGAGGCAGGCAGGAGCCAGGCACGGGGGGCTCCTCTGACTGGCGTGCACAGCCCCCATGGGCTGGGGGAGCGTTCCCCTCACTCCCCCCAGGCACACAATAAAGTTACTGTAAGCAGAAGATTGCTTTGTGTCTGAAGTTTATCAACTCTTTTGGCCTGTAAAGATGAAAATCTTTACACAGTTAGCAAGCTGTGGTAGTCTACAGGAAGTCTTTAAACTTCCCTTGTTAAAAGCCAAGTTCCAAGTGCTATTTTTCCAGTCACCACGCGCTTGTATTCGGGGAAGTGTGAAGAAGATGATGACACTGCAGCTGTGGAGCTGCCTAACTTTCCCCGAGCAGCAGCAGCAGCAGCAGTAAAGACGAAGGCGTTCGCTGCCTACCACAGCCAAGGGCTGAGGCTCCAGCCGGCCCCCAGCCTTCCCCACACGGTGGGGAGCAGCCAGCGCTCGCAACGCCAGCGCTCTCGTGATTAGGCACCGCTCCGCAGCATTCCTAGGCCCGCTTTTAACGGAACCGCTTGTTAACGGGGCTTTCCACAGAGGTGGCCACCCGTCTATCATCCACCGCCTCTCACGCCCATTGGGTTTGGGGCCGTGCGGCACCGCCTCCACCTGGGACGCTCTCCCCTCACTGGACAGCGGGGAAAAAGTCTCCGCTCCCTCCGCCATTTCTGCCGAGGTGGCCTCGGGCGCAGTCGCCAGATGGCGGCCCCGGCGGTCGCCCCTCAGCCTCCGCAGTCGACGGGTCCTCTCCTGTTCTGCTCGAGAAGCCGTCTCGCCTCGGAAGGCGCTCCGTTAGCGTGGTGTTACTCGACCGAAATCCCTCGTCTGGTGCGTGGCAGGGGCTAGGGCTTCCCGCAGGGCAGCGCGGGCTCTCCCGCGCCCTCGTTTTCGCGCCTCTGGCAGCACACCGCGGCTGCTGTCACGGACGCACCCGGGCCGGGTGCAGAGCAGCGCGCGCGGCTCTGCCCCTGCCGTGGCGGGAAGAGGGGGGCGGGACCGCTGCTCCACAGACAAGGCCCTCAGCCAACGAAACGCCTCATGGGGCGAGAGGAGGTGCAGGAGCGCTGGCCGCCTAGGGCCGGAGTTCAGCTCCTGCCGGGCTCGAAGAGGCTGCCCCCCGCGGGAGCTCCCCTCAGAGGGCTCAGCGGGCGAGTGTTCGGAAGCCCTCCCCTTGGGACGGGGACAACCCCGAAGGGAGCTTGGTGGGATTGAGTGCCCTCAGCCCCCCGCCCCCCTCGGTGAGTGAATGGTGCCTCGGGGTGAGCTTGAGTGAGCGCTTGCCCCCTTCGGGCACCTCTGAGGGGCAGGTTTCCCCTTCGGAGAGTGGGTGCGCACCTTGGTATCATCACTGTTCACGTGCCGTCGTTGTCGTTCTTCCGTGTTGCTGTGCAGCAGCAGCGTCCCCAGCTGGTACGTGGAACTTAGTTAACTGTTATGGGGGCGTTGTTTTGGCTGCCCTGTCCCCGTCATCTCACTGGCTTCGGCTGTTTGGATTTGGTTGCAAACTAAAGTTTGTTAAAGCTTCTTGTCCGTGTGAAGCCGCTTTGGTATACCTCGGTGACCTGGTGATATTCCTGGTGGGATTTTTTGAATGTTCTGGGGGACGCCCAGGGCCTGTAGGGCGCATCAAGGTCTTTCAGAGGAGGAGAGGTGGTCCTTCAGCTTGCTGGTCTGTCTGCAATACCGGAGTCCTCGGGACTAGTAGATGCTCAGGGAGGGAAGTGCTGTGTTTCGAAGCAAACTTGAAACACAGGTCTGTTTTCTGTGCCTCTCAATTCTCACAAGGTCACTGGGCTAGAGATACCTTGAAAATGTGGGAATGCACAGAGTCGTCAGTCTTTGTTTGCAAGGAATGCAGAGTTTCTGTTTTCTTGTTTGGAGAAATGTTAGAAATAAGGAGACGTCTTTGAGTTCTTAACAGTTGTGTAAAAGTTCAGGGAGTTTGAATGCTGAAGTTCTTAGGTGTGTGGTGTCCTGTCTTAATACTTCACAACTAACGTTTTTTATCTCAAATGTGGGAAGGGAACACGGCGCCTTGGTTTCGGCGATCAGAGCAACAAACAGATGAGACGGTGCCCCGACTCCTGTCTGGACAAGACAGAGGTTTTGCACGTCGAACAAACGAAATCGTGATGCCTGAACAGCTGAAAGGTGAAGCCCAATGCAGTTTTCATCCTTGTACAGGTAAAACGTTGTGAAATAAATTTGGCCGGCTGCTAAATTCCTTTTTACTTCCAGGTGTAAATGGACTCTGTTCCTGACGAATACAGACGCTACAGCACAGCCCATGTTGGGGTGAGCACCTTTTGCCGGGTGTCTGCCAGGTACAACCGAGAAGCGCTTTGTTAGCCCCTGCACTCCCACTGTGGGTCACAAGATGGGGTCTGAATACCCAGAGAGACAGCTGTGCCAGCAGCACGTGCAGCAGCGAAACACCACCTTGCCACTGTATTTTGCTTGGGTACCGTAATAAATCTCGCTAGCACGCAGAGAGGGCTTCCGAGAAGTAGCAGTTATTAAATGTTATTTTTCCGGAGTCCTGTTCAGGAAGGTGGAAAGAGGTAAATTCAGGGACCGATTTTTAGTAAGTTACAGGTGGTGCTGCCGGCAGTGAGGAGGGTTGCTGGAGGGCTGGATTTGCGGGAGGAGCAGAGTGCTGTCATGAGGCGGACCATCCCATCCGTCAGATAAATGAGGAGGGATCCAGAAGCGTTTTCCCCAAATGAAGCATTCTGTGGACGGCACCTTTGTTTTCGAAGCAGGAGATACTTCCTGAGTGTCGGTGTTCTTTTGCGCCTGAGACTTTGCCAGATGCGCGCTGGTTCAGGGGTGGCTGTTGCTCGTTATACCCGTAATTGGGAGGTGGCTTTGGTTGTGGCTTAGAGAACAATTGTTCCACGGTATGTCCAGTCAGGCA